AACAATCACATTACAGTATTCAAAGGAATTCTAGTGAAATTGGTCTTTGGTCGTTTCATTTGGTTGATTATTTATTGACATACCAGAGAAAATGATTGTATAACACCTTGCATCAGCACTGAAATATCACCACATCACAGTGTGATCTGTAATTTTGAGCAGCTGCAACGCCCAGATGGAGTGACATGGAGAGACACACACCAGAGTAAAAAACAGTAGCCTGACATGTAGAAAAAAACAAGCTGGATAGACATTCTGTAGGTAATATTATTACCCTCATACACGCATTCATAACATCCAGGCTCGACTACGCAAACTCCCTACTTGTCGGCTTTCCCAACTCTTCCCTCCATAGGCTGCAGATCATCCAGAACTCTGCAGCCCGTGTCCTCTCCCGCACCAGCCTCCGCACCCTATCACCCCCATCCTCGCCCGACTCCACTGGCTTCCCATCACACAGAGGATACAGTTCAAGATCCTGGTCCTCACTTTCAAAACCCTCCATGACTTTGCTCCCCCCTACCTCTGCGACCTCCTAACGCCCTACTAACCTGCCCACTCCCTCCTCTCAGCGGGCTCCGGCCTGCTTCATGTTTCCTGCCTCACCTGCCCCACCGTTGGTGGATGCGCCTTCAGCTTCTCTGCCCCCACCCTTTGGAACTCCATCCCGCAGTCCCTCCATCTCGCCGCTTCCCTTGCCTCCTTCAAGACCCGTCTCAAGTCCCTCTTCTTCGACCGTGTCTTCGATCATTCTCCTTCCCCCCACCCTGCCCTCCACCTTCCCAATCCGGACTCTCAGCTCACGTCCGAAACACTGATTGTCCAGCACCTTGGGACATCCTCCTGACATAAAAGGTGGTATATAAATGTAATTTTGTTATTGTTTACTTGGCTCCTATGTATTTTAGACCTCTTGTATTGAGCATGTGGAGACCGGCACCCGAGGAAAGAGGAGTTGAGATCAATTCCTCTTTGGTTTCTTTTTAAATGGGATTATAAATTGCTAATCCTGTCCTGCAAAGTCCTCCCACTGAAGGCAGATAGCTGATGAGGAAACTCTTTGAGGGTTGGGGCGACATTTGCTGGAAGGTGTTACCTGGAGTCCTGGTTCATGAACACGCATTTGTACGTCCAGCGCCTGGAATCCACCTTGATTGGCTCACAGAGAGGCAAGCAAGTGCTGCTTAAGACCTGCACCTCCAACTGGCAGGAATCATCGCTCAATGGGAAGGGATGTGTGCCCGAGCTGTGGGCAGGAAGACAGTAGCAATGCTCGCACACATTTTATTCTGAGATGTGTTGCCCACCATGAAGCTCGCAGGGAATTCCTGGTACCTACCATCCACCTAGTGAGGGCTCAAACCCGCCTTGGCGGATGTTGAATGACCAACTCATGACTATCCTCCTTGGGTCAGGGGGAGAGGGAGGAGGTAAGCGGGGTCTCCTTTGAGCTGAACTGGCTCCAAGGTGACATGCCTGGCAATGGAATGTCGGAATTGAGTCGGCCCTTTGTGACGGTCTCGGTAGTCCAGTTCTGAGTCAGGCGGGTCTGCAGCATTCCTGGGCTGCTGATACAGCACAGCCAAGCCTGGCTCATCAGCAGGACCTGGAAGAGCAGACCAGTAAATGGGGACAAGGAGTCATTCCACTCGGCTCCTGTTAACCCTGCAAGCCAAAGCCCTAATGGGTAGGGTGCCACTAGCTGGACAAGCAGTGGGAAAGCTTGCCAGACAACAATATCAATGGCAAGCTATGCGGGTTTAACTGGTTAGACTCCAGCAGTCACACACACACACACTGGGGTCCCCAAGCCTTGGCTCTTGCCAACTTGCACCTAATTGGAGTCCTGTAGCTCAGTGGTTAGAGCACTCGCCTTGCAAGCGAGACACCTGGGTTCAATTCCAGGCAGAGGGCGAAACCTTGGGCAAGTTTCCTTACTCCATACGCCTAATAATAATCCCTCCAAAACAAAACAATAATAAATTGGTCATTTTCAATCCACGACTGTTTGTGGGACACTGCTGTGCGCAATTGGCTGTCGCGTTTTACCCATAAATATACAGTCAATTCACTTTACAACATATTCTGTGAAGTGCTTTGAGACGCCGAGAAGACGTGAAAAGCGCTACATCAAATGCAAGGATTATTATATTATAATACTTATCAGAATTAGGTAAGCAGGATGTGTCCCTCCAGGGAGAGAGTGTGCATTCCATTCCAACAATTCCATGTGTAGGTGGGATGCATGGAATCCTCAGTTTGATTTGGATACTCTTAAGCATAAGGATGGGTTTCCGCATGAGTCAGACACCCGGCTGACCAAAATAAAAAAAAAATTACTGATACATTTTTAAATTGGAAATTTCAGTTTTTTTTTTAAGAATTGTATATTTAAAAAAATGAAAAATTCTAAAACCTTTTGGGACAGTAACACCAGGGCCTGAATATCCCAAATAGCATTCAAATGCTCTGGAAGTTGGCAGCAATGAAAAGCATGGTCTTGTGAAGAGGAGGGGATGAGAGACGTGATTCTATATTAGTGAGAGAGTCCTTGCTATGAGCCTGGCACCACATCAACTTCCTGATGAGGAATGTAGACCTTTGCAAGTATACTTTCAAACACATAAGAAATTGTACTTTGACTGTACTGTACTGGAGATCCTTTGTTCATTTTGTCATTCCGCCTCTCTTTCTCCACCCCTTCCCTCTAGAAAGAAACCCTAATTTTCCCCCAAGAGGTTAGTTATACTCCATGTCTCAAGTTCAGAAAGTAAGAGTTTGTATGCTTTTCATCCATGGAGAGCAACACATCCAGCCCAGTTTTACCCACTGGATAGCAATCGAGAGCAGAAATCATAACTGGTTTCTTTTTCCACTCTCTCTCCTCCCCACCCCGGCCAGGGTTCCTGAGACTAATTGTAACACTCCAATTGCTAACTTGGCAGAGAGAGGCTGCTTATTAGCATGATCATTGGGGGAGTGGGGAGGGGGTTCATTTCCTCCTGAAATCCATTTCACATACAACAAATAGAGCAGTCTTTTTCATGCTGCCCTTTTGAATAATTTTCTGTACATTCCTACCAGCAGGAAAAGAAAGTTATCCACAAGAATAACTAGAAATGTAGTGAGGGGATATTAAGCACAATTCTGCAACACCCTTCCTATATAACGAGGAAACAGAATTGCTGAGGATTGGTTCTGTGTTTTATGTTGTCTGCAGTTTTATGCTAAACAGAGAGGTTACTGTAGATTGGATTTTTCCTATGAATTTTCCACGAAGGAAGGAGGCAGCCTGCGTTTGACGAAGTTGTGAGTGAGCTGTATGAATTGGGTGTTTTTTATGACTAGCCTGGGGGAAGGAGTCTCAGAGAGTTTCTGCTGAGAACAGAATAGTACTGGTGACGTCAGTGATTGTTCAGTATGGCCCCTGTGCTTTTATCCTTTTTTCAGTTTCCCGTTAAACATGTTTCTTGCCCCCAGATGATTTCTCATGAGTGCGAGATGCAAGCAGCTTTGTTTATTGTTGTGCTGCTGCCTGCAGCATGACAGTAAATAACAAGGCCTGGTGGGCCGGCAGAAGCTGGCGGCTGAACCATTTTCTCGTCCAGGCATCACCGCTTCGGGCGATTAATAAAATAATCCTTGCATTTGATGTAGCGCCTTTCATGTTGGGAGGACATCTCAGAGCACTTCGCAGGATTCATTGTAAAGTGTAACTCCTGAGTGTTCTTTTTTGTAGGCAAATATGACTGCCAATTTGTGCACAGCGATGTCCTACAGACAGACGGCTATGAGGTGAATCACTAGTTTTCCCTGGGGATTGTAAAACCCAAACCTGAAATCATCTTAAAAAAAAATGAGAAGTCTAGCGCTGATCTGGAATTGGGGATATCGTGAGGTCTCACGTCTGAATACACAGAAAGTCAGTGAGATCTTTACCCAAGCGCTACCTAAATAACAGCAGTGGAAGCCAGAAAGGATGAGAGCAAACTAATCCCACTGAGATGCAGCACATCATAGCATTCATTGACCTCTGTGTGTGTGTCATAAGTGGCTCTGCTTGAGCATCATGGACTTGAATGGAGTCCTGTAGCTCAGTGGTTAGAGAACTCGCCTCGCAAGCGAGAGACCTGGGTTTGATTCCCGGCAGGGCAGAATGTTGAGCAAGTTTGCTTACTCCACATGCCTCTGTTTACCTAGCCGTAAGTAGCAATCCGGTTGTTAATTGATTGGTGGATCGCATTTCCATGAGTAATAATACCTTCAAAAAAAAATTAAAAAATAATAAATTGGTCCCTCAATCCATAACTGTTTGTGGAACACTGTTGTACGCAATTGGCTGCCGCGTTTCACCCACAAGATATACAATCAATTCACTTTACAGTATATTCTGTGAAGCGCTTTGAGACACCTCGGAGAAATGATAAGGCGCTGTATTAAATGCACCCAACATAAGGTTTTCTTTCTCCAAAATCATGGCACGTCATTCACCAACCAAACAGGATGGCAGAAGGCATTTAGCAACTGTGCAGTACAGGACTGGGTTGATGTCCTCTGATATCTCTTGCTGCAGCTCCCGATAGTGGGCTGAGATGTGAAAAACGTCCTAACAGAGAAGCTGTGTTTTTACCCTTCTCAGCTCTCGTACAGGCTTGTCTGTTGATGCACTATTACGAATCAACATTGGACTTTACCTGAGGTCATTAAATATACTGTAATCCAAACAAATTAATGGTTCCCAGCAACCTTTTTTAGAAACCACTGAGCTGTGAATGCATTTCACCCATCGCCAGTAATGGAGAAATCTTTGTGCACACAGGTAACTTAATAAGAATAGCAGATCTGTATTGGAAAGCCAATTATAATACTAGAGGTTTAAGTAGCAGAGTACCCATAGGCTAAAAGAATTGACCGGGAAAGAAATGCATCCATTTCTTCAGACTGCCCGATCACAGTAGCTGCAATTATTTCTTCTAACAAAATACGCTTGTGTTTTACAGTGATGATTACAATGAGGATGGATTCTGTCAGCCGTACAGAGGGATTGCATGTGCACGATTCATTGGAAACCAGAGCATTTATGTGGATTCCCTCCAGATGCAAGGAGAAATTGAAAACCGAATTACTGGTAGATATTTTATACCCTTGCAGCAGAATAATTATCATTTCTTCCACCGTCAAATGAAGTACAAGCGTTAAGTCCTCTATTACCATGTGAGATTTTAAGCCCGCCCATTTATTGCTTTCACTTACTGAGTCTTTCTAAAGTTAAGCCTTTGTTTAAACTGTATCAGAGAATACTGGGAACCCCCAGTATTAATACCACAGAAGCATTTTCAATCACGTAGAGACCGAGGTAAGTTTTTCAAGCCAATCCTTAAGTGAGCTTCAAACTACCAAGCCCATCCTTTGCACAGGGCAAATTGAGTTTACAGTAAAACAATTTGCATAAATCCTTCTTACTGGGGAAAATGCAATTTCCTGTGTGACCCATGCAGTGAAGTAGGAGTTTCAAACTTACAATTAACATTAGTAAGGGATCATTACACCAACAGTATGGCTGTTGAGTTGAAATTATACTACTGTAGTACAGTGCCACCATGTGGTAAAGGGAAGTAGTTCCTTGTTCTCAAGAAAAAGCAATGACATTTATTCACAAGCCCTATATATTGTGATAACAACATAATCCTAAAACTCTTGAATCTCTGGACACTTCTTGTGTGATATTTGTTTTTTTGGGAGTGGTGAGGAAAGGATAGTAGAAAGCCTTCATAGATTTCAGGCCTCAGTTTTGCCTATGTCCACCGGACAATGGTCGCTCCTTCAATTGGAGGAATAGATAGTCGATGTGCACTGTTGTTCACTTCTGAGGCTTGGTACAATATGGCTCCAATAAGTTGACTGTTAAGTCCAACTGGTTGGAGTCCAGCGCTTAATCACTGGAGCGCAGACCAACCCATGCAGGCAATTATTTGAAAGCTGATTAACTTTGTGTGTGTCTGTGTGTGTGTGCACAACTAAATTATTTTGTAAGCAGCTACCAACTTCTAATCAAAAGAACAGATTTATACGAGAGTAAACTTTGCTTGATCTATTTAAAGGGAAACAATTGTAAATTCAAGGTCACTTATGCACTCCACCCCAATGATTAAGCAACTTTACTCCTGTCTTATTCAGACCAGGAACATGCTATGTTTCATCTGCAGTTTGTACTGAGTTAATTGAGATGAACTGGGCAGCAATACAGGCCATTAGTCTCAATACACTGGGCTAAGGCAGCATTCCCACTCTTGATCACTGCCCACTCTCCATTGCCTGGGGGGCAGTGCGTGTGGGTGAGTAATGATCAGAATCGACTTTAATAGCCATACTCAGAAGATTTGTTATTTGGATCACACAGACATAAACATTACAATGTCAAAAGGAAAAGTTCAGGATTTAAAGAATTAAATACAAAACATTTTTTTTCAGCAATCCTTTGTAATTTCAACAATCTTGATAGCTAAAATGCACTGATGATTCATTGAGTTTACCCAGTCAGTACTTCAACCATACAGATAGGAATTGCCCAGGAGCCATCTTCACATGGTTATCTGATCTCAATTGGGCTTCTACAATTGGTATCATTGCTCTGGATTGGGGCGGGCAGGGTCCTTCAGGAATGTTATTCCTGATAATTATGCAATGATTCTTGCTGAACAGTGCATGTCTACATTCAATTTTGGGAGAATCGGGTTTGGCTGTAATCTATTACAAGTAAACTACTGTTAAGGCTCACACATGAACATTAGCACATGATGGTTATATGGAGAACAACCAGTACCGTAGAAAAGATCCCATGGCATCATTTGAAAGAGAAGGGAGTTTTCTCTCTGTGTTCTGGCCCAAATTTTTAAAAAATACTCATTCACTCATGGCTATTTGTTGGGGACATTGCCATGTTGTGCGTAAATTGCCTGCTGTGTTTGCCCACAAAATACACACAACCAAGTTATTTTAAAGCATATTCTGTGAAGCGCTTTGAGACATCTTGACGATGTGATAAGGCGCTATATCGAATGCAAGGATAATTTACTTTGGTAGTGGGAAAAACTAATGAAATGCTTTCAAGAGAGGTGACTAGATTGGTCAGGAAAAAGATAGGTCTTCAATCTGAACAAGATCAACATGCCTGGATTTTATTTTTAAATTTTGCACTGTTTACGTCTACCAACTAAATATAGGAAACCTGGAGTAAAGAAACAATTTAAATACAGACAAAACACCAATTCTTTCTTTGAAGTTGGGATAAGTGAGTTATTGTAATGTTATGTTGGATGATGAGAGAGTTACAGCACTCATGTGCTAATCAACCTTTGTGCTTCCTATTTCAGCTGCGTTTACAATGATTGGCACTTCCACACATCTCTCCGACCAGTGCTCACAGTTTGCCATTCCATCCTTCTGCCATTACGTGTTCCCCCTCTGCGACGATCATTCTCGTAACCCCAAACCACGGGAGTTGTGCCGGGACGAGTGTGAAGTTCTGGAGAATGACCTGTGCAGAACAGAATATAAGATAGCCAGGTCAAACCCAATGATTCTTATGCAGCTCCAGTTGCCAATCTGTGGAGATCTACCACTGCCTGAAAGCCCAGAGGCTGGGAACTGCATGAGAATTGGAATTCCTATGGAAAGGATTAACAGATGTAAGTATGAGAAAAATTTTGGTTTGTCTTCACTGATCCATAAATCTTTGGTCATAAATCATTGTTTTCTTGCTTTCTTTGGTCTCCGATCCAAGGGGTTCCTTGAATAATTAAACTTTTAGGAGTGTTCAGCCTTTGACAGAGATCCAGTAAGACAGTGAAAACTACAGCTCTAACCTCAGACCTCCTTGGAATATACCAGGGTACACTTTAAAGTCTCTATAAATATTGCTTTCCAAGTAATGCAAAGAAGGGATTTTTTTGTGTGTATTTTTTTAAACGATGAAAGACAAGTTTTTTATTGATATTCTCACCACGTATAAACTGAACAGTTTTGTGCCACCTTTATATTTGCCCCTTGCAAATAAGGACAAATCGGTAAAATGTTTACGCACTGATGATTTTGATTAGGAGGGTGGAGAAGAACAGTTTTATTGCAGCACTGGTAGTTTTCTTTTATTGTGGATTATGTTCTCAACATGCAAGATTGTGACCTGCAGCAAAAGAGGGAATTTGTTCCATGTGACGGAATAATGCCTCACTAAGTCAAAGAAAACTGATCATGGCAGCACTTATAGCTGTTACTGGTTTCCAGAAAGATGTTAGTTTTCATTGTGGCCACTGGGGAAAAAGTAAAGTGTGTTTCCAAGAAGTTGCATAAAAATGGTAAAAGCCACAAGAAGAGGGTCATTTCATGAGAAATGGCTACAAGTCATTGACAGTATCATTGAGAACAACGTCTGCTACAATCAACAAAGTAAGAGAATAGGTTGTGGTGTGTTTGAGCGCTTGTTATTTTGTGTGTCATGCAGTGTTAGGACATTGGCTCATACGTGAACTTCTACAACAAAGGGCAAATTCCCAATCTCATCTTTAAGTTTGCGGAGAGGCAAAGCATGGAGGCAAGTGGATGACTCTGGACCATACTCTCATAGCTCCTAGCAAGTAGCATTAAAAATGCCTTGGAACAGGGCAAGTACCTCTCCACTGCCAGCTTCAGAGGTTGTGAGAATGGATTCAACAATTGATGGACAGAAATCTCTAGCATTATATTCTCCAGAATCACCTACAAGCATAATTCTGAGAAGGCCATGCACAGTAGACATAGTCAGTGGAACTAACATCACTAATTTTGTCTCAAAAACCCAAATCATTGGTGCATCTTAACTAAATATTTCTGCATGTTTATGTTGTAGGTAGCATTTTCTACACTCTATCTCCCTTTTTAAAAAAAAAGCTTCTCGTGACCAAACGTTATCAGTACGGATCGATAAAGTAAGTTCTGAGACTAATTCTCCAATATGTTTTAAAAGCTTCAAATATCTACCTGGCATTCACCATCCTTTTAGACAGAATTACTCGCAAGGTCTATTTGTGCTTCAGACTATTATGTGGGATTCTTACAGTTTGGATAAAAGGAAGGATATTGAGATAGGTATAGACTTAAGATGAACCAATACTCCTCGGGACACGATTTCTATGCTCCTGTGGCACATATTGTGTATGAAAGGAAGGAGATCGATGAATACTGTAGAGATTTTTCTTCATTACCTTCGGTTCCAAAGGGTATCTAGCAGATAGGGGTGAAGCCTATAGGTGTTATATGTTCTATGGAGGGAGAGGGTGTAATTGGCTCGGTGGCCTTTTTATGATTCTGACTTTCTACACTTTTATTTGTAAAGAAAAATGCTAGTGGGGCAAATACCATTTGTTTGCATATACATGTACATACCATGATGTGCCAGATTATGTCTCCATATTTCTTTGAGGTACCTAGTTAAAAATGGAGACAAGTTTTTAAAGATTGCATAACATTAGAATATATTAAGACCTGGAACAGTGCAACAGCTGTGGTGCAGTGACATTTGGATTGCATAAGTGGATTAACCTCTAAAAAGGTATTAGATTGACAATGAAGGTAAATGGAGAAGAGTTCTTGTGATTCAGAAGGATACGTAACAGCTCTGTATATGAGCTGCAGCATTAGATGACTCAGTCTGAGTATTAAACAGAAGTGTGTGCTGTATTCAGTTCAGTTTTTTCCTTATTCTAAGTGTATCTTTGTTTAAGTTGGTCCACACAGATCACAAGTGTTACAATGGCAGTGGAGCAGATTACCAAGGTACCATCAGTGTGACCAAGTCGGGGTACAAGTGCCAGTCATGGAACTCCCAATATCCACACAATCATCACTTTACCAGCTTGGACTATGCAGAACTTGAAGGTGGACATTCTTACTGTCGAAATCCTGATGGACAGATGGACGGTCCGTGGTGCTACACACAGAGTGAGACTCTGCGTCTTGAACTCTGTGATATCCCTGCCTGCAGTAAGCTTTAGTCACCTGTTTCTTAGTTCAATGATCTGTGCCACATTTCAAAAAATGTTTGGTATTCTACTCATACGGTATTATGTTAAATCATTTTACAAATTTATATCGACAGAGGAATCAAACTATATTTGAAATGTATACTGGTTCATTCATACCTGGTTATAAAACTCAAAACTTTACAGACTGGATGGTGCAATGGGTTAGGAAACTGACCTCTTCACCTGGGTTTCAATCCATCCCAGATTGCTGGAGTGAAACGGCCTCTGGACTTGTTGGGGTCCAGTATGAAAAGTACTTGGGCAGTTTCTGGTAGACATGGACCAGGACATGGGTACGAGATCGTGAGCAAAATTGGTGCTAAATTTAAAGAGGTTGCAGGAGTGTCTGGGAAATGGAAAAACTCACATTGGTTTAATAGGAAGTGCTTCTGAGGATAGTATAGAGGATGTGGTTAGGGAGAAGAGGGGGAGCTCTACTCTGCATCTAACCTTTGTAAAGTCTCCCCTGAGGATGCTTGATACTGATTTAAGGGCCAGAGGTGGAAAGTATTCATTCCCCTGGACTAACATCTCTCACCTTGATGAATACAAACCTTTATGGAAAAAGTTTTTTTTCGTTGCAATGTGAATGATTTCCCCCGGCAGTTTGTGAGGAAGGGACTGGAGACATAGGCTCACAGTTTAGCACTGTGCGGCACAGCGGATGAGAACTGACTGTATGATTTTACACAATGATAGTGTACTATAACACACACATACAATAAAGTGTGATTTACTTCTGAGTTGTTTAACTCTATGCACCACTGCAGGCATTTATTAGTTATTTCCAGATCATTTTTTTTCATTTAGTCATTAATTTCCATCCTGCCTGTCTCATAATTCAGTTGGATATGACAGGACCTTGCTGCTATAGAAGGATGGCTCTCAGTGTTTCTCATTTGGAGACTTTCTTTTATTTCACTCTATAAATGGAAGTTGCCATTGAATAGGCAGCAAATTTAGTACAGTTATCAATAATTATAGTAAGAAAATTAAGTTGTGTTTTTATTTATATAAATTGTATCGGGTGAGAACTGTATGGGAAGTTTCTCCCATAATCCTGGCTTCTGGTCTAGATTCACGCCAGAAATTCAAGTGAATTGGCTATCCATCTCATTGGTTTTAACGCATTGATCTGCCAAATTAGTTGCTGCTAATTAAAGCAAATTATTTTACTTAAACAATATTCACTTCCTTTTAAATTAATCTTGGGCTGTAAAGAGTTTTAAGGTATTTCATTTTTCGTAAAAGGCACTATCCAACTTTGGAAGTAAAATCAGAAAACATTCCTTCGCACAAAGGGTTGTGGATTGCACTATACTACTACTACAACAACAACAACAAGAATCCGTATATATAGAGGGATGTCGGGGCAAAATCAGTTCAGATTAAGAAGTATTCAGAAAACGTAGGGAAATGGGATTGAAAGATCTCGCATGATCTAATAAACTGGAAGAGCAAGTTTGTGGAACTGAAGTAGTTAAGTTGTTACATTGAATACTTAACTTTTTACAGTCTATATTTCCATTCCCTTTATATTGGCAGAACAATACTGCTCCAGGTTTTTGTTTGCTCCCTATTGATTTTAGTGAACTCTGCTATGAGATATGAAGCAATGGGGGAATTGGAAAGACAAGGTTCAGAACTATTAATGCTACTACTAATTAAAGCAAATGTTCACTAATTAAACAATGTTCACTTCCTTTTAAATTAATCTTGTGCTGTAAAGAGCTTTAAGGAATTTCATTTTTCGTGGGCGTTAGCTCATCTCAGCAGGGCAATAGTTGAAACTACAAATGTCCTCAGTGCCTCCAAATTAGGGAGAGGAAACTCAAACAGGACTGCTGTCCATTGGGTCGTTGAAATAAAGTGATGTTAGTGATGCTTCATGTTAACACGTTAGTCTGCAGTACAGACTTTGTTGCACATTGAATTGGCCATTAGATGGCACTACAGAATAAGAAATAAAATTGAAAATGATAAAATAAGGCAAGCACCGAATTGAATGGAGAATCATAGAATCTTACAGCACAGAAGAAGGCAATTCGGCCCATCGTGCCTGTGCCAACTCTTTGAAAGAGCTACCAACTAGTCCCACTACCCGGCTCTTACGCCCTAGCCCTGCAAAAAAGAATCACAGAATCTTACAACGTGATGGCAAAGACTTTCTAGACTTTTCAGGTAATATAACAAATACTTGTGGCATTTCTATATAATGAATTGTCACGCCCATAAAATTATGAGTATTAGTAAAGGAAATTGGGAGCAAATTTACCTGGGAATCTATTTTATTGAATGTTTGATAAAATTATGGCTAGTTCGCCCACAGAAATGGTCACTACGGCTTACAGTAAAAATCCTGTAAAGCACTTTGAGACAACCTCCTGATGTGAAAGATGCTAATTCAAATGTAAGGGTTATTATTAATAAGAGGATAAGTCATATTGTCAAGTTTTTGCTAACAGATGGACATGAGATTAATGTTGCAATTGATCCAGAATCAGCTGTAATACTAGTTTATATTGTGGGATCTCAGCAGGATTCAGTTTTAGCAAATGATACAAGACTTCTGCTTCAGGTCAAGAAATTGAAGAGGTGGGAAATGCCGTTTTGCCTCTTTAAAACCTGTTCCCTCCATATAAAACCTACTTCCGTTTGAACAGCAACAAAACTACACTTATGGAAAAGGTTCTGCATAGATGCTGTGTGATCCATACCCATATTTGAAGAATTCTTCATTTTAAGGTACCCTGTGGTAAGAGGGATAGACTGACCTTGAAGGTTGTTCGACGATGATTCACCAGGATAATGCCTGGGATGAAGGAACTTAGCTAAGTCAAGAAGTTGGGAATTTATAATAATAATAATCCTTGCATTTGATATAGCGCTTTTCACGTCCAGAGGACGTCCCAAAGCGCTTCACAGAACACACTGTAAAGTGAATTGACTGTATATTTGTAGGCGAACGCGGCAGCCATTTGCACACAGCAATATCCCACAAACAGTCGTAGATTGAAAATGACCAATTTATTATTGTTTTTGGTTTTGGAGGGATTATTATTAGGCTCTGTGTGGAGTAAGAAAACTTGCCCAAGGTTTCGCCCTCTGCCTGGAATTGAACTCAGATCTCTCACTTGCAAAGCGAGTGCTCTAAGCACTGAGCTACAGGACTCCATGTATTTATGGGTTAAATTACTTGGAGCTGAGTAAGTTGAGTTGATCTTTGAAACAATAAAGGATATCGACAACATAGCACAGAAATCATGTTCAATGGAGTATTATCATCTTAGTATTGTATCTCTGTATTCTTCAGTGCTGGTCTCAAGCCAAGTTAAGTAGTCTTAACCAGTTTTTTTAAAAGAGGTAATTGATACAACATCAGCTGCATTTGTTGAGAGTCTGTTTCCCGTGTCTACTACTCTATAGGGGGAATAATTGTCTTCTAACTGCTAATCCCTCTTGAGTTTTTTAGATTTAAATATATGCCATTTTCTGCTCTCATGCTCTACATGAAGTAATTTGCTTACACACACCTACTTTGTCTCGATCCCTCAGCGTTTTAAAGATCCTGGGCAATATCCCCATCAAGACGTTTTTTCTAATACATCATTTCAGCTCTGGCGTGCCTCTCCTCATAACTTGGAGCTCTACATCCCGAAAAAACCTTGTTGCTCTTTGCTGAACATACTCTAATGTTGCCGTGTGTTTTTGAAGGGCAACTGAGCAAACCTGTACACAATATTCCAAAATGTAGCCTCGCTGTTAATTGAACATTGTTAACAGTTTCTTTCAATGTAAATGAAGCATTGGTGTAAAATGTTGTATTAACCTACCCAGCTGGGATCGCTGTGCATGTAGGGATAACATGTTTCACCTCCCAAGTCTCCTTGATGAGCTGGACAAGCTGGTTCCCCATGAACAATGCCTTGGATTATGTCACAGGTGTCCTGTTTTCACCCTTCTCTGTTCAGAGCTCTATTTTATTGAATATTGCATGGTATTAAAACACTGTTAGATGATAACTCAGCTTCCTGTTTAATAGCTTTAAACACCAAAGGCTTGTTTAGGGTGTTTATGAAACATCAGGGTTTTGGTGTGCAGAACACCAAAATCAGATTATTGGTCTATTTTCAGCTCGCTGGCCAGCAATGTGTAGTGGGAAGTCTAAATCAGCCTATATCAGGTTTCCCACTACACATTGCTATATTGCTAGTACTACAGCATAATCGGCCTTGATGCTTTGGGGCTACAGAGGTGTAAATATCAGCTAGTGTTTTTGTACCTGAAGCAGGAATGACTGGACCATGACCAAGAGTGGGAATCCCTGGTTCATTCCTCTGTTCTCCCTTCCTTAGCCCAAAGCCACTGGTGTCATTTGTTGCTCTTCCACCAGTTCCCTGACTGAGATCAGCCAGCAACACAAGCCAGGTGTCAAACCTGCAACCTTCTTGGTCTGTATGGACACATCTTGTACAACATGGTCCATTCGCCCACTAAATCACCTTCTTTCAAGTCTCTTCCACATCTCTCCTCTTTTATCAAGTGTTGAACTGAAAGTGTACTGTCACCTAACCTCGCTGGCAATCGTACATGCTTGGAAGTTCCTCGGTATGCAGAAGCTGCCCAAACATCACTGAGCATTTTAGCTTCAATTGCATGTTAAATTGACTCACTTATTATCCTAGGTTTCAACGACTCCTACAAGCCATTTCCTTGACCATGTCCAACACTTTTTAAAAAAAAGCCGTAAGTTTTTAAACCTGCTTTTGGAAAGTGTTGCTCTAATAGAATCGAACCTGAACTGTATTACTGCCTCTCCGTTTCTTTAGATCCACATGAAAACAGCAAAATGGAGATCCTCTACATTCTTGTCCCCAGCATTGCCATTCCTCTGGTCATTGCTCTGCTCTTCTTCCTGGTCTGCATGTGTCGAAACAAGCACAAGGCATCTACACCTTCCCCCCAGCGTCGGCAGCTCATGGCTTCTCCTAGTCAGGACATGGAGATGCCGCTCATCAGTCCTCATAAGCAGGTACTTCTTTCAAATTGTTTTTTTTTCAATTCAAGGCTTTCGTGCCATTTTCAGATGCATTTTCTGGTCATTGAAAATGTATCCTGAGTTAGGTATCTGCTGCTGAGTTCAAAACCTCTACATCATGGTCATATTTTTGTCAGCTACTCAAATGTTGGTGACATTCTGTGACATTTTGCAAAGCTGTTTCAGGAATGCAACATCTCAATGCATAGTCATTGCCTTTAACCTTTTGCCTCAAGTTTTCCCTTCATTTCTCCCGAAGATGCTGATTAGTGGTAAGATTAGTAATAATAATCCTTGCATTGGATATAGCACCTTTTCATGTCTTTGAGACGCCTCAAAGCGCTTCACAGAATATACTGTAAAGTGAATCGACTGTATATTTTGTGGGCAAAACGCAGCAGCCAATTTCGCACAGCAGTGTCCCACAAACAGTCGTGGATTGAAGTGACCAATTTATTATTTTTTGAAGGAATTATTGAAAAGGAGCCAATTCAACAGTTACTCCCCTCTTCCTCCTCATCTCCCCATTGCCATCCATTATCGGGCAATAAGCATGCTTAAGCATCCTTATTTTTCTTTTAAAAAGATGATATGCTGTGGACACACAATTATGTTCCTCACCTCTTCCTGCCCAGCTGTGGCTCCTCCTCCCTCCCATTGCCATTCCCATTGGACGGGAAGGGGACCAAGTAGTGGTGGCTAATTACTAAGTACAGCAGCACTCTGGTCCCTCACACAAACAGCCATTCTCTTTATGTGAGTGTCAGCGTCCTTACAACTACTGGTACCAGGAATGGGGAGAGGAAAGTAGCATAATTGCAACAAAGCTCAACCTGATCTCATACCCATATTCATACCAATTATGATGCTCATGTGGATATGCTTCTGAGATCAGCTCAAGAGAGCAGCCTGGGGAGAACCTCCCATCTCACTGATGAGTTCATAGAGATCGTGTTGGAAATCTTGATTGCTGTCTGTCTAAAAAATTCAAAATCAATTCATTACGAGCATCTAAAATGTGCTCTAGCAGCGTCATTGCTCTCTGGCCACTAGCACAGCTGCTCACGAGTTAACACTGTTTATTGAAGTTAACGCAAGCACAAGACTTTGATTTAACCCGAAATCTCATCAGAGCCACAGCCCTGCGGCAATCATGTATGCCCTGCGGCATTGGAGTCCTGTAGCTCAGTGGTTAGAGCACTCGCTTTGCAAGTGAGAGACCTGAGTTCAATTCCAGGCAGGGCGAAACCTTGGGCAAGTTTCCTTACTCCACACGCCTAATAATAATCCCTCCAAAAAACCAAAAACAATAATTAAATTGGTCATTTTCAATCTACGACTGTTTGTGGGACATTGCTGTGCGCAATTGGCTGCCGCGTTCGCCCACAAATATACAGTCAATTCACTTTACAGTGTGTTCTGTGAAGCGCTTTGGGACGTCCTCCTGACGTGAAAAGCGCTATATCAAATGCAAGGATTATTATTATTATTATTATTATGGGTACTCCCTGAAGAATGCTAGATTTAATTCTTTTAGAATGGGGGTATTCAGCAGGGCCCCACTTAGCAGTGATGTTGCAGTGGCACTTTTTAGACATCTGTGAATCAATTTTCACATATTTAGCCTCAGTCAAGTCTTACCTTCCAGGCGCTCAGGTTGAGCAAGTTGCTTACCTTATGAGTTGGATCAAAGCAAGGTCTGAATTATTGGAGGTGGTAGTTTCAAGTTTACTGTAGGTTAGAAAAGTGATTTCTAAATTTACAAGATGCTCTAATTTGTAATTTACAAAATACAAATTCTACAGGTACCCGGACATGTTGTAGCCTGCTAGAACACTGCTTGAACCTTGATCTTGTTTCTGCCTTGGGTGAGGCCAGATTATAGCCAAAGGAAGGTCCTGTCACTCAACAGGAGATTGGCGTCTGAGCAGAATTCCAAAAACATGACTATGACTCATTTGGATGCCGGCAAATTTGCCTTTGGAGAATACTTTTGCAAATCTTGCAAGTTACTCCCAATAATACCTTTGAACAGATGTTCGATAAATAATACTGATCCTTATATTTGATATAGCACCTTATCACATTGTTCAGACGTCTCAAAGCGCTTCACAGAATTTGCTCTAAAGTGGAGTAGTGACTGTATTTGTGGGCGAAAAAGATTTTAAAAAATACAGAAAAAGATCAAAAGATATTTTATGTAAATACAAAATAACACCTCTTTCACTGACTGGTCTCCCAAATTGTGCCTCCAGGGGAAATTGAAAGAAATCTGTCTGTCTGCAGTGCGGTTTATGGAAGAGCTTGGAGAAGATCGGTTTGGAAAGGTCTACAAGGGGCATCTGTATAGTACAGGCCCTGGTGAGCCAGCCCAGGTTATAGCCATTAAAACTATAAAGGATAAAACTGAAGTGTCGCTGAGGGAAGAATTCAAGCACGAAGCTTTGATGCGCTCTCGGCTGCAGCACCCGAATATGGTTTGCTTACTCGGCATAGTGACCAAGGAGCAGCCTATGAGCATGATCTTCAGTTACCCTTCCCACAGCGACCTCCACGAGTTCCTCGTCATGCGCTCTCCCCATTCCGACGTGGGCAGCAGCGACGACGACAAGACGGTCAAGTCTGCCCTGGAGCCAGCGGACTTCCTGCACATCGTGAGCCAGATAGCGGCCGGCATGGACTACCTGTCCAGTCACCACGTCGTACACAAGGATCTCGCTACCAGGAACATCTTGGTCTGTGATAAACTCCACGTAAAAATATCCGATCTGGGCGTTTTCCGAGAAGTTTACTCTGCGGATTACTACAAGCTGATGGGAAACTCCATCCTGCCAATCCGCTGGATGCCCCCGGAAGCCATCGTGTTTGGCAAGTTCTCTGTCGATTCTGACATCTGGTCCTTTGGCGTGGTGGCCTGGGAGATATTTGGTTACGGCCTGCAACCTTACTGCGGCTATGCCAACCAAGACGTCATCGAGATGATCAGAAACCGTCAAGTGCTGCCTTGTCCTGACGACTGCCCAGCCTGGATATACAGCCTGATGCTGGAGTGCTGGAACGAGTTTCCTTCAAGAAGGCCACGATTTAAAGATATCCACACCCGACTCCGGACCTGGGAAAGCCTGTCTAATTATAACAGCTCAGCTCCTCCTTCTGGGGGTAGCAATGCCACACAGACTAGCTCCCTCAGCACCAGCCCAGTCAGTAACGTCAGCAACGCAAGATACGTAGGTCCGAAGCAAAAGCCACACTTTGCACCGCCTCAGTTCATACCCGTCAAAGGGCAGATGAGGCCCATGGTTGCACCTCCGCCAGCTGTACATCCCAGTAAACGGCTACCAACCAATGCCCGCCTATGGTGCCTACTTGCCAAACTTTTACCCGATGCAAATCCAGATGCAGATCCCCCAGCCTGTGCCCCCACAACTGGTGCCAAAGACGGGTTCCCATAACAGCGGAAGTGGCTCCACTAGCACAGGTTACGTCACAACTGCGCCCTCCAATGCCTCCGGCACGGAGCGCATTGCCTTGCTCCCCGACCAGTCGAACGGGGCAGAAGACGACCAAAACGAGCTCGCCGCCGGTGATGAAGCCCGAGTGGCCGAGAGCCTCCAGCAGCAGCAGGAGGAGGAAATGTTTGTGCCTGAGACCGAGCTGCTGGGTGACGCTGAGCTGCCACAGAGCAACGACGCAGAGGTCAATACAGAAGCATAAACTTGCGTGTGTGTATTTTTTAAATATTGCAACCAAAATCAAGGCAGAATTTATTACCCAGACAAAAATAGTAATAAAGAAAAAGAATGTGAAGCGGCAAAGTGTTAAACCTATAAGCCTTTTTTGCAAAAAAGAAATTTCTGTTTTTTTAATCAATGTGGGCTCAGTCTCTTTGCGGCCTTTTTGTTCAAGGCTGCCTTCAACTTTTGTCTATTGAAGCCGCTATCCTTCCATTCCACATTTAGTCTCCACTGGAACATATACAGGTAGTAATGAGTAATGATCAGTATTGCAGGTGTGGAACAGAAGGATGCTTTGGAGGTTCCCTACTCAGCCAAATAAGTGAGTGTGATTTTTCTACTGTTGCTGTGCAACTTTACACTGTCGAGCAGTACCTAGTATTTATAGTACACAGTAATCTGGGTGCTGAAGATTTGAATTGTAGAGAAATGGCTTTATAAAGTGAGAGCTGGAAAGAAATGCTAAAGGGGAACTACAACTATTATCGTTCGCTTCTCATGGGAGAAACTTTCCATGCACATTTTTGTATGTTTGTACATGCAAATTATAGCCATTTTATAAACCTTTTCAGTGTGCACACTGAAGACCTTTTTAGTGACCAATCAGTATTGTGACCCCCCCCCCCAATAGAAACCAATCGGCTGGTGTCTACAGTGAGACACGGATGAAAGGAATATCCTGAAGAAAAAAAGGGCACAAAGAGAAAACAGATTGAAGAGAACTGGTCTGCACGTAACTGCAAGGTGCCATTGGACAGAAGAGGCGTTGTTCTGTTTTCCTTGAAAACACAATGAGGGGAAGGAGCAAAACAACAAGCCAAAGTGCATTTCTGCATTAACCAGCAAAGGGCCCTGTCTAGCTCCTTTAGTCTAGTTTTTGCATGTTAAGTGTCAGAATTGATCAGTGTCCACTTTTAAAGCTATTAAATGAAATATTCTTGTTTTGTACATAGGAAAGATTATGACTTCAGACACTCTTAAATAAGTTTCTACTGTTTATTTCTTCAATTGCAAATGTTTGCAAAACTATTTTGCTTATGGAGCACATCCTATCCGTTCCTTTGTTTTTACAATATTTTTTAAAAAGAAAAACTTCTGCAAGAAATATGCTGTACAGAAATGAACTTGCCTTTTGGCTTTTTTTTAAAAAGAAGCCTAACAAAGGCTTTAATTGTAATTTATACATTTCATGATGTTTGACAAAGTTTTTTTTGACATGCTTGATAATGGAACAAATGTTTGTTTGTTTTTTATATAATTTAATTGTAAACTTGCTAAGTAAATACTTATTCCACTCAGTTTGGATTTTCTTTCACTGGGTGGCCTTTAGGTTTTCTGTTAGTTTCTAAGGAGGTCTTTGCATTCCACTTGTTAAGCACACCAGACAATTTGCATAACTGTAACCAGCGCACCGTTTATATATTTTGTAAACCAAGCCACATGGCATTTCAAATAAAGTGATTAAACACCAGTCTGCGTACCTTTTTTATTCTTTATCGATTTGGTAATAATCTAGATCAAGTGTGATGCAGGTAAGTGTCGTTCTGCATTTGGTCGAGGCCGATTCGATAACTACTTTCAAAAACGCGATGAACGGGTATTTGAGGAGGACGGGTCTGCAGAGTTATGGGGAAAGGGCTGGAGAGTGGGATCGATATTATATTGCTCTATTCAAAGAGCAGGCACAGACTCGATGGGCCGAATGGCCTCTTTTTGTGCTGTACGATTCTATGATTTCTCCACACCACAAGATTGCAGTCTAACCTGGAGCTCATCTCCAAGTGTCTTTAGGCGCGTCGCCATAGCCCTGGACATCCATTCACTAGACAATGGCTCCTTGTGCTTGGAGTCCACCCACCTTCTGGAGTTTGGGAACTGATCACCAAGGTCATGTGGGTCCTGGAGACTGGTGCCAGGGGTGAGCTTTGTATTTTTACTCAGACCATATTAGTCACACTCTTTAAGATTTTTAACCTTGGTGCTATTTATGGTACTTTATGATACTTATAATAATCCTAAATAATCCTTGCATTTGATATAGTGCCTTATCACATCTTTGAAACATCTCAAAGCACTTCATAGAATATACTGTAAAGTGAATTGACTGTATAGTTTGTGGGCAAAAGTGTGTTACTTGAAGCGTGTGCATTTGTGTTGGTGGGGGCGGGGGGTCTTGTTCTGTTCTAATGTCATGCAATTCAATTTCCTCAAACAATTGTTTAAGATGATAGATTTCTGTTAAGATGGTAACAGTCCCTCTCCCCTTTGCCCCAGTGATCAGACTAGTATGTTCAGGAAACATTCTTGATGTAGAATACCTGAAGGATACCTTCAACATACTGTGGTCTATTTTGCAAGATTCACAAAGGACTTGTATGGAGTGCCTCCTGCAGATGCCTGGATGTGCCTGAGCTCGGTGTCAGGCTCTGCCACTGTTAAGCGCTCTGAGATCTGAGATGCTGGCCCATGTGAAGGACGCTATACAAAATGCAAGTTGTTGTTGTTGGAAGTCTGCTCAAACTCTCCTTTTGACTGCAATCTATTCCATGAAAATTAAAACAGATCAATGTTCCAGCAGAATTCCTAAGGTCGACTTGATACATGCAACAATTCTATTCACAAATTCTTTGGCAAAGCTTGAAAATACGACCCTAATTTGGACTTCTCATTGAAGGTATTTAAAGTTCCACTCTCAGGATTGCAGTCACCAGTCAAATATTCCCTCTCCCTCCCAGGCTGCAGAATAGAGGACAACAATTAACGACTTTTAATTGTTGTCTTTTATTGCTGCAGTGAGAACTAGAAAGCACAGTTACAAAATCAAGATGTTTTCCCACACATTGAACTGGATCCATTAGAAGGAAGAACATTATAATTCTGCTTTAATATATCTGCATCAGTAAGCAGTACTTACTTTGGGCCCCAGACACATTGTTCTAATATACATTGATTTCATTTGGTAAAACCTATCAAATTGCAATTTGTCACTTTATATTTTTGTCTGTAAAATATCTTTTCCTGTTAAGTTCAATTCATTAAGCTTCCGGCAAGCTGTAGTGTAGTGTCACTGAAATAAAGGGAAAGGATTGCTTCCAAAGCAATTAAGTGAAATATCTTTTCACCACACACTGGTGTACAAATTGGTCATTTCATTCTACACAGATTGCCTGTGTTGAGCTCAGCAACATACAGGAAACTTATTTTGAGAAACTGAGTGGTACTGTCGAGCCATGGATGTTAGTGTCCCCTTTCTGCCCCCCACCCTCCCACTCTGGAACTCCATCCCGGAGCCCCTGCACCTCTCCCCTCCCTTGCCTCATTCAAAGCTCATCTCAAGACCTTGCTTTTCGACTGTGCCTTCAGTTATCTTCCCTCCTCCATCCTGCTTGCCTTCCACCCCTTTCTGATCTCAACCCGAAGCTCAGGTCCAACCCCTCATTGTCCAGTGCGTCCTCCCAACGTGAAAGGCGCCATATGAATGCAATTTGTTGTTGTTAATACAATTTTCAGTTTCTGCATTCTGTGAAGTCATAGCTGGAGTGGACAAAACATATTGAAGTTCTTTAAAATGACTGTAAAATAAATCCCGCAACCTGTCCAACCAGAAATTGCAAATCAAATTCTGCTGAAACGTATTTGAGAAAATTAACATGAAATGCAATAATTCTAAGACATCTTGGATTTTCATTTTGCTTTGGTAAGTGTAGTGTACCTTCAATTTTATTGCAGCCTTCAAATCGTTTTACCCAATAAATGACCCCATCTCTCAATCCAGCTTCCTCCAGGCCAATTTAAACTGTTCCTCGATGTATTACTTTTGCTCTATTCATTGTCTTTGCTTATTACTTGGACTGCCAGCTTCCCATGTTAATTTACTATCCCCAATTGCTGTACAGTTCAAGTTTTGATCAGTCACTTTCTGAAATCCTTCTGGTGCTGGCAATTGTCCTTTGTAACAATGATTAAGCAAATGATACACTGAATGTACAAAGCCGTGCCAGATATCAGTCTAGCTCAGTTAGTAGCATTCTGACCTCTAGGTTCAAGCCCCACATTGGGAGCTCATAGTCAGTACATTGTCAGCACATTAGCTGACATCCCAAGTCAGTGCTGGGAGAGAGTTGCAATGTCAATGTCCTTGCCTTCAGTTGGGACATCTGCCTGTTCAGGTGGACATGAAAGATCTTGTAACACTATTCTAAAAGAAGTGAGTTTTTAACAACAATCATAAACTTTTTTTTAAAAAAAATACTTTTTATGGGAGTTAGCCATGGGTAAAACGGCTGCTGCATACGCCTACAAAGGCAGATTCACTGCACTTTGCTGAAAAGCGGAACCATTTTCATGTGTTTCAATTGTATTGATGCAATATCAAATGCAAGGCCGATTTATTGTAAGTTAAGAAAAGATGTATGAGAAAATGCCTGATGGGTTAAACAGATTTTTCACATAAGTTTGCACAAGTGAAGACTGGTCCAAGTTTCAAATCCAATCTTTTTCACTCTGGAAACTTTAACACAAGAAGATGTGCAATAAAGCTCAACAAAATTCAAAGAACTGCACATTTACAAGTCACCCAGGATACATCCTGCGACCCCTCAAGGAAATGTTAAATAATTGAGGCTGTCATTAATATTATTAGGTGAAAGCAGCAACAACAACTTGCATTTATATAGCACCCTCCATGCAGGGTAGCATCTCAGAGCGCTTATAGAAAACAAATACTGACACTATAGCCAATATTTTGCACATTATTTGAAAGGAATGAGACAAGACCCTAGATAATAGAGGACAGTTAGCCAATGCAGTGGACTAAAATGCTTGTATTATGAGATAAGATCAAAGGCATCCGGTTAGAATTCCTGTTAACTTGTGTCGGATATAGATTTAATTGGAGCGAGGTTCCCACTGCATATATACAGTAGTTCCAGTCTCTCAGTTGGTGGGTTTGGGATAGCTTAAGAAACCCTGTTATGTTTTGACCTTGGCAGCGGGGAGATAAGTGGATTTCCTGAGGCCTCTGCCAACCTGGGATGGGAAATTCTGATCGTCAATTTTTATCTAAGCTCTTCCATCATAACGTATTTTGTGTCCAAACATTTCATGCCCCCATGAATTTCTTAGCTCCAGTGCAGCTTATCCAACTAGCAGTCAACGATATCATATAAAGATTTGCTTTTATTTAAATAAGTGTTTACCTCTTCCATGATCCCAGATTCTCATTTTAAAACCTGAATCTATAACAGCTGAATGATGAAAACAGCAATTCTATTCATTTAATGGTTCAAATCTGACTGCACATATGGATTAGGTTTATTTCTAATACCACCGTTCAGTCTCTAATCTACCAACTGGACAACAATTAAAAGCTTTGTACTGTAAATCTCATGCCCTATTTTACACAAGACAGATAGCATCAATTTTGTTTTGTTTTTGTATTGAAGCCTGCAGAATAAAGCTTAGGTGTTTTTGCACCAAACCGGTGCATTAACTACATTATAATTGAAGTTTGTACACTAGTGGATTTATTTTAAAAGGTTAGAGGTTTGTGAACGACATATGTGCAACATATCAGAGGGAATCTGGTGCATGTCCCCAGGAAAGAAAATAAAGCCAGGAGGAGAGCAGAAAAGAGAGCAAAAAACAATGGGGAAAACAAACAATGGTTGAAAATTGCAATGTATGCTGTGTTATGTTTGTAACAATTTTCACTTTGTTTTAGAATACAATGTCATTGAAACGGAATGGTTAACATAAAATAGCAGCGACCCTTTCTCGTTCAGTAGTTCCCTGCAAGATTGAATGTTTTCTGTTGCGGTCCAAAGCAATAGCATTGGAGACTTTGGTCTCATTGGTAATCACTTCATGGCTGTTTGAGGACATTGCTGTGCAAATTGTCTGCACCATTCACCTATGAGTAAACAGTCACTACACTTTAAAACTTATGTGAAGCTCATTGAGATGTTTTGATGTGATAAACTGTTTTAGCAAAAGCAAGAATTATTATTATAAATCTTTTTCCTAATGGTACCCTCTGTACCAGGTGCTCTGACCAGGTGGAGCCTGGTCAGAGCACTGTATAGTTTGATGTCTGGAGGCCTGAGCTCAATTGATTCAACAATGTAACTAATGCTGCATAATTCACTGAGAAATCAAAACTAAAGTTACATATTCAAGATTTTAAATATAGATTAACAAGGACCTATTATTTGCCTAAATTTAAATCATTTACCGTAAGCAACTCAGAGATTACAACATTCACAAATGAATAACTGAGGCAAGTTTTAACGCACAAACATATCTTTCATTCTTCATTAATCTATTCTCCGAGACACTACCATTGTGAATATAATAATAATCCTTGCATTTGATATAGCTCTTTATTGCATTGAGACGTCTCAAAGCGCTTTGCAGAATATACTGTAAAGTGGATTGACTGTATATTTTGTGGGTGAAATGTGGCACACAGCA